TCCTTCTGCCTCAGCCTTCCAAGTAGCTGGAACTACAGGAGTGCACTACCACGCCTGGCTAATTTTTGATTTATTGTAGAGATGAGGTCTCACCAAGTTGCCCAGGCGGGTCTCAAACCCGCAGGCTCAGGCAATCCACTCACCTCAGCCTCCCAAAGCACGGGATTATAGGCTGAGCCACCGAGCCTGGCTTAAGTGCTTTTTCTTCATAAGTTTTGGTATGTTGTGTTTTCACTTATCTTAATGTATTTTCTGATTTCTCTTGATTTCTTCTTTGACCCATTGATGATCACGAGTGTTTGATTTTCTTTCTTTTTTTTTTGAGTTGAGGTCTTACTCTGTTGCCCAGGCTGGAGTGCAGTGGCATGCTCACGGCCACCACAGCCTTTACCTGCTGGACCCGGGTGATCTTTCCGCCTCAGCCTTCCAAGTGACTAGAACTACAGGCATGTGCCACCATACCCGGCTAATTTTGTGATTTGTTGTAGAGACGAGGTCTCACCCAGTTGTCCAGGTTGGTCTCGAACCCCTGGGCTCAGGCAGTACTCTCACCTCTACCTCCCAAAGGAGTGGGATTACAGGCGTGAGCCACCATGCCCAGCTGATTTTCAAATATTTGTGAGGTTTCTAAAATTTCCTTTTGCTACTGGTTTTTAATTTCGTTCTACTATGTTTGGAGAACATGGTTTCTGTGATTTTGCTCTTTTGAAATTTATTGAGGCCTGTTTTGTGGTTTACCATAAGATTTGTCCTTGAGAATGTGCCCTGTTTACTTGAGTAGACTGTGTAATCTGCTGTTTTGGGGTGGAGTGTTTCATAGATATGTTAGATCTATCTGGTTAATAGTGTGGTTCAAGTCTTTTTCCTTGTTGACTTTCTGTTTTGTTGCTCTGTGTGTTAATTTACGTCTTAACCTAAACAATCTAGTTCATAATAACACAACTTATTTTCAGTCGTATACCAAAACTTTGCTTCTCCGTGGCTTTGCTGCCTTCCCTTTGTGATACATATTACATATTTCTACATTGTGTTCTTGTCATATACAGATTTGTAATTAATGCTTTGTACAGTTGTCTTTTAAATCAGACAGGAGACATGAATTACAAACAAAATGTATTTGTGCCTTCTTTTATATTTACCTGTGTAGTTACCTTTATTGGTGCTCTCTATTTCTTTTTTTTTTTTTTTTTT